CTTACAGGAACTAGTATAATAAGAGGGTGATTGATTATATGTTTCAGCATAAAATAACCTCATAAAATTTTCAGTTTTATGTGCTAAATTTGGACCTCTGCTCACCTTTCCAATAAAAAGTCCTTAGAAGGCGATTGTTGATAAATTTTAAATCGTACTTTGATAGCGACTTAGCCCACGGTTTGGTGGAATTTTTTAGAATTTTTATTTATTTTAATACTGTTTATAAATTATAAATTTAAATTTTTATTAAAAAAAATTTAAAAATTAATTTTAAAAATAATAAAAAGTGAATAAGAAGTAAGTAAAAAATAAATAAAAATGAAATTTATAGAAAGTAAAAGTTTAAAATTTTTTAAAATTTACTGTTTAATATTTTTTTAAGGTTTAAAATAAATTAAAAAATATAAATTTTTAATAAAAAATTTAAATTTATAAAATATAAATAATATTAAAAAGTTAAAACACTTACCAACTTTAGCAAATATACTCTTTAGAGTATCAACTCCTAGCAGTATATAGTTTGTACCGACCTTAACGTGTAGTGTGTACCATGAAAAATATTACTTTTTTATATAGTATTTTATTAAAAATATTAATTTATTTAATTAAATTAATATTAATTAATATTTTATATAATTTAATAATTATATCAATATATAATATTTTTAAATAATTATTAAACAATTATATAATTTTTGTAATAATAAAATGCTCAAAAACCAAAACTACATCATTTTAAAATACTATCTAAAGAAACCTAACAAATCATGTGACATCAATTAAAGGAAACCCCTAAAATTCTCATGACTTGGATGGTGCACCTCTTTTTTTACTTGGTTAGATTATGACTTGTTAGTTGTTATATGCATGACTTACCTTAAAGGAACATTTTTTAAGGCAGCATTTTCAAATTTGTCCTTTAAACATAGGACGTTGAAAACAAATTTACTTTTAAAAAATGAGAGATAAATTGTTTTTTTTTTTTTAATTATTGATTAAAATAAATGACTCATTATTTAATATATAATGTTGTTTCTATCAAAAATCTGTTTGTCATTGCAACATTTTTTAATGAAAAGTTTACGTGTTATGATATTATATGTTAAATAATAAAGATTTAGTTTAATTTATAATTTAAAGAAACCATTTATCTCTATATTTTTTAAAAAACATATCTATTTCAATTCTCTTATTTGAGAAGTGAATTTAGAGGTCTTACCCATCTTTTAATTTCCAATAATTCCGGGAAGTAAATTCATTTTACAGGATTGCTTAACTAATAGTCTCAATTTTAGGACAAGCTCATGTCATGTGGTTTGGGGCTGTGCCCTTGCAAATATAACAAGCAAGAACGCGTCCCATGTGACCAGTCCTTGCCGAATTAGGTTCTTACTCCATATTCGAACCAACAGGTGATCATTCAATTGGCCTATCTATTCGAATTGTCATTTTCACCGCCAGATTGAATGCTCCATCTTCACACATGGTACATAACTTCTTCTCATCCAAGACAGAATCCGTAATGTCATGTTTTCAGGCATAGTTATTGTCACACAAAATATTGTTAGAATCATATAAATTTTATTA